ACATCATGAGTGTATGGAATTCATCTCTCTTGGGCACTGCTCTCTTGGGTGTACCAAGCCTATATGTATCTAAAGAAAGAGGAGTAGTTAGCTACTTCTCTTCTGCAAAAAAAATGGCTCCTTAGCACAGGCACTCATTTGCTTACAGTGGGCTGCAGCCAAGAAGCCCTCCATGGGTTGAAAGCATCTCAATCCCAGATTCTGGTGGTGCACCAGATGACATAGCCTCACGGCTTAGCAGCAGGGCCCTGGGGCGGGCTGGCTGTTCACCCTCAGGAGTGTGCAGCTAGGTGGGAACCGAGGCTACCCTCCCTGTCCTCATGACAGCCATCACCTTACCCCACATCACCAACACAGGGAAAGATCAAAATCAAAACTTCAAGCCCAGTGTCCACTGAATGTATATTGCTTTCATACCACCTTAAGGTAAGAAGGTCTGAAATTGAACCAGTTAAGTCAGGAACCAGCTGTGGTCACAATAAAGAATGTGGTCAGCATGACTTTTTCCTTTTTGGATTAGAGAAAAACCTTTGGCATTTCATGTGGTGTTTTGATGATAGACCTATGTGCTGAATACGCATGTGGGAGCAGATGCATGTGTGAGCAGATGCATGCGTGTGTGTGTACATGCATGTGTGTGACTTCTTTGCTTCTGCCAAATACTCCAGCACCGACTCTGCATGGGTCTGCTTTTCTCTACCTTCGGTTATTACACTTATTGTTTTGCGCTCTCTAGGCAGAACAGCATATTGAATTTTAGTTGCTGTTGCTTGGGTTTTGTTTGCTTGATTGTTTTTGGTTTTTAGACAGCGTCTCACCAAGTTGCTTAGGGCCTTTCTTAATTGCTAGGCTGTCCTGGAATTCTCCTGTCCTTGCCTCTGAGATGATAGGCACGCACCACCACACCTGGCTACCATCTTGTTTTTAATGTGTGAAGTTTAAAAACTTCAATAGAAATGAGGACAATGGTTTGCTGAGAAAAATCGCCCAGAGTAACTTTGGTACTTGATTTCTAGAAAGATCCTGTTTATCCTACTCTAAGTATCTGATAAAAATTGCATGTTTATCATGTGTTTCCAAATCATTTTCATTTGCAAGATTTAAGTGAACCATTCTCTGAATTTTGTCTAATGGGATTAGTATAATGACTACAATAGATTCCAGAGAACTGATGAGACTTATTGTTATATTCTGAGTCACAACTTTCACACTTATGATCAGTGGTAGGTCAAGCCATTAAACTATATTTTTGGTCAAATTAGGACACTCATCTTTTTAATGGCTTTGTTTTGTATTCTTTGCTTTCACAGGCTGGATTCATGGGGTTTAAAGACTTCTTTTGCTGCATTCTAAATTTAATTGCAAGTTTATGTATCAGCATATTTAAAATGCCCAAGTTTTAACATCAGACATGAGTAGAAAATACTTCTATGAACAAGGATTTGTAGAACACAGTGGCACACAGGGCCCCTGCCCACTGGATCCTGCTGCTGTCCCAGCGGAGGCTGCAGACCTCAGATTCCGTGAGAGTCCGCTCTACTCTGCTTCCCTGTGCAGTCTGGGCACTCGGAGATGCAGCATCAGGCAGCGGTGACCCACCTTCTAAAGGAACACTGTGTTCTGCACACTCTCTCTCATATCTGACGTAAGGCCCAGGTGCCTGTGACTTCACAGAACTACACATTGTGTTATTTCTAGTGGCACGTTTGCTGGTAACGTGACAGCTGGCCCTTCCTGGCTGTCTGCTCCTGAGACCTTGGTGCAAGACTGTCTTGGCTTTCCCATGGTCTTCCAGGGAGGGCTTGGAGTTTGTGTCTCTGTGTTTGTGCTGGTGACTACATAAATGCCTTTAGATAACGGTGCAGGGTTTCCCTGTCACTACGCAGCTCCAACATGCACAGTCCAGCATGAGACACCACTGCAATGTCACTCTTCCAGAAAGTGGCGTCAAAGCGAGATTGTTAAAGAACACTCTCCCTTCAGGCTTTCAGAGGGTAACACGTGCAAGCAGGACTCACACTAGCCTGCCTCCAGTGCACATTCACAGTCACGCCTGCCTTCCACGCTCTCCTCGTTGCACATTTTGAGTGGCAGGTGATGGAGCACAGCCTGCGTGGCCCGTCTCTTTGCCAGCTGTCCTCAGCCCAGGCCTCCTGTCCCTCAGTGCCATCTCCCATGTTGCTGGCAGTTGCATGACCTCCCTCCGTCCTGATTTCTGCCTGGGTTGGTGGGTGCATGGCTGCCCTCTCTCTGCGGCGTGTTTACACCTTGCTGTGAAGCAGGGGCTGGTTCTGTGCCCCAGTTTGCTCTGACTTCACTCTGCCACCTGTACCCGTGTTGGTCCACCCATGGCAGGACAGGCGCCCATGTTGGCCACCCAGGCAGGACGGGCGCCCATGTTGGCCACCCAAGCAGGACGGCCTGCGGAGACTGGAGCTGTGCCCAGGGCCGCAGCAGATTACTGCTCTTAACAAGAGATGAAGGGACCTGTGGGCTCTGTCACATCCTTACCCATTTTTCACTCAATTTCTGAGTGAAGTAATAACAGGTTAAATGACATTACTAAACAATTTTCCTACAAATACTAGCTCTTAGTATTCTGAGTTCTAACATCTAAGGGGCATGTGGTGAGTCTGGAGAAGGTAGCAAAGAATGATCATTTCTTCCAGATCTCAAAGAACATGGTCCCCACATCTTTCCTGAGTCACTCCACAGTACACTCTAACTAAATGATTTTTTGTTATTATTTTATTTTAAAAATTTAGTATGATTCCTATGGGGATAGAAATAGACAAACTGTTTTTTTTTTCAGAAGATGAATTAGACTTAGATATAAAATTTAAGGAAGGAGAAAATGAAAATAAATTAGCGTACAATGATTATGTATACATCAATATACATGAATTTTTCATACATAAGCAAATGTACTAATTATGTAAAAACAAATTATGTCATACATGTAAAAGGGATGGAATTTAGTAACTGGAATTTAATATTGAATTGTCATTTTTTTTTAATTTCAAAATATTCCTCCCTTCAATTTGAACATTTTTATATTCTTGATATTCTTTGCCCTCTGTCCTGTCTAGGAATAGTGTCCATTTGAAGTGTCCCAAATGATGCAGATGTGATGTCATATTTTTAGTGTCATATTTTTAGTGTTCTGAATTCTAATCAGAAACTCAGTGCTGTGTGAAGCACATGGTGTTGAGTGCTTTTAAAAGGACGCCCTTTCTGGATTCGTCAGTTTCCCTTAGGAAAGCATCTCAGCACCTCCTGCCCCTCTCCCACGAGGAATCACCAGGTTCCAGGGCTTAGATTGTTTATCTAGGCCACAGATGGCCAGGCTCAACAGCAGGTGTCTCAGGTGGCCAGCCCAGGGGGAGGCGAGGACACTTCCCACTCCTGTTCCTCTGGGGATGGGAAAGTGACCCTGGTCTGTGAGGGTGGAACCCCTGGGCGTGCAGCTCTGGTCAGGGATAAGAGCATGTCGAGGAGCCGGGTCAATCCGCCTGCACGCGGCCACCCCAGCCTCTGCTTTGGCGTGGTGTGGGATGCAGGGTGCTGGCTGTGAGGTCCCCTTGAGGATCAGAGCACCGCCACTGCCCTGGCTGCTGACGGAGGCAGCGCAGCCCCTCCTCTGTCCTGTGCTGTGCCTAGCCTCTGCAGACAGACCTGGCCCTCCATGAGTGAGCCCCGTGGGAGGGACACCAGGGCCCACGCTTGCTGCTGCTCCCCTTGAAGTTCATCATCATTTTATCTTTGAACTTGTGTGGATTTTACCTGAGCTCTGAATAGAGAGCAGTGCATCCTGCGCCGTATGGACAGCCCTGCAGGCGGGGGCAGTGGCCTGGGAGGGTAGCACAGGGAGCAGCTGCCCCAGCTGCACCCCTTCCCCCATTTCCTACTGGCATTTGCCCCTGAATTGGCCGCAGTCCTCACCACCCGCCCCCACCCCAGCTGCCTGCCGCAGAGCCGAGCGGATCAGCCAGCTGACAAATGTGTGCATGCTCCTGATAAGAACCAGACCCAAGCAGGAACCCAAGGGTGTGGAAAGCACAGTGAGCTGGTCTCCTCTGCAAAGACCTTTCTCCCACTTCTCCAAGACACACTGAAGAATGGAAGACGTTATTCGCAACCAGCCAGTAACACCTCCGTCGTCATCTGAGCTGCACACTTAGATCCTCAAAACTTGTTCTTATACATGAAAATTTTAACCCCTTCACCAAAAAACTGCACTTTTATTCTGTGATATTCATAGCAATGTATTCTTTATTCTCATGATGATATTTTGAATGGGAGAGGGCATCAGTGCTAAATAATGCTTAGAGTTAATTTATCTGATATTATAGGCTCAATTCCTATGTTATAGGGAGCACTTGTTTCTGAAGCTGTGAGTTCTTAAGTGAAGGAAATTTTTGTCTATGGTTAGGGTCAGATCACACCTGAGGGATATAAATACAGGTCCTGAGTACCTGAAAGCAGACCCTCCAGGAGATTCTTGTTGTTGTAGGTCAAAGACAAGAGTGAGAAAGAGACAGTCCTAGGTGGAGATGAACATAAGGCTTTGTTTTCAGCTTCTCTTTTCCTGGAGGAGAGAGCTCCCAGATTCACACCTCAGTGTTTTCATAAGGACCCTTAAGCATGTGTGAGACACAAAAGACAAGAGAGCAAGGCCACTGGTTGGCATGTCACAGGGGTGTCATTTCCTAAGGACACAATATTTTAAATTATGTGTATGTTAGAAGTGGGGTGTTTTGTGCTCGTTTTATTAAAGAAAGACCTTGATTTGCTGCAGGGTGGAAATGAAGTAAAGTGATGTTTAAGAGTTAGCTTGCAGTTCGACTCAGTTACTTGAAGTCCTTTTGGTCAAACAACCAGGAAAAGCTTTAAAGCTTCTATTGCTCTCACAGGAGGACAGCAATAGAAGAACAGCCCTTCTTTTTCAGATAGTAGGAAAGTTCTTAAGTTGCTTGCTTCCTGTCCCTGTGTTTCTGCAGCTGTGGGTCTCGCTGCGTGCCAAGAGCCAGCGCTCCCCAGCAACGGCATCAGGATTGGAGACCGGTACCTGGTGAACGACGTGCTCTCCTTCCAGTGTGAGCCCGGGTACACCCTGCAGGTAGCGTTCTCTGAGTCTTTGTGACACAGAGCGTCAATACGGAAACCCTCGGACCGTTCAGTTGAAACTGAAGCCCAGAGAGCTAATTTAGTTTTCTTTTCTCGGTTTGTGAATTGAGCTAATTAAACCAAGCATTAAGCCCTGGATGTTGGTAATCCATGGTATCGTTGGAAATAGTTTCTGTATCACAGAGCACTATTTATTTTTCACATTTTTTTTAATTTCAAAATACATGTTCTAGAAACTATGCAGAGAAAATTCTGTGGAGCAAAGTAGCATCACTATGTGCTTAAAATCCCATCTTGGCTCCAGTTGCTGGGTGGGTGTGCAGCCCTGTACTGGTTCCCTTTGGTGCCATGTTGCCATGTCTCAGCTCCCTAAGTCACCATTAGATACCAGCTTACTGCCAGGTGATTGAGACCCTCAGTAAACTTAGATAATGTTTGAGAAAGGGGAAACAAGTAACAGTTTTGCTATGAACTTTTTATAGATTTTATATAAAAAAATTTGTAAAAAGTTCCTTATAAACATTTTATAAATTTATAGAGAGAATAGTCAGTTTTCTATTACCCGTTTTCTGATTTAATCATTGGGAAACTTACTCCCAAAATAGTGTCTGTTACTTTGCATAGCTCTACATGATTCTCCCTGCTGGCAATAACCATTGATTATTGACACGTGTGGTCCAAAGTCTAGGAGACACGGCTAAGCCTACTGATCTTTCTACTCTCCTCCCTTTAATTCAGATCATAGAGTACGTTTTGTTGTGTGTTTATAACAGTGAAGCTGCTAGTTTTTCAAGGACATTTCTTTTAGCCATGTTTCGTTCCTCATTGAACAAAGCAGCCTGAATAAGCATCAGAAAGGGTTGGGGACAACGTGCAGTGATGTGATGCTACTGTTTGGAGAATTCAGTTTCTGCACGTATGTTGGGTTATCGTCTTGTGCACTGCATCAGGTGGCAGCAGGGAGCAAGCTCTAGTGCCCACTGTATGTGTCACTGAGAGTGGTTTCAACCAAGACCTCAGGTTAGGACCCGTCAGCCTCCCTGTGGCCACACAGGGTGCAGGTGGAGCTGGAGGACATTCACATGAACATGCACAAGCTTCATTCAGTAAAAGGAAACTTCTGCTGCCATTGGGAGCACCTATCCACATGCAGCACTACCTTCGTAAAAGCAAGCCACAGCTCTCCTGTGCAGGCCTGGGGGGCGGTACTCACTGCTCGGACTCTGCCGACAGAGTGGCAGCAGCAGCAGTCCAGTGTCTGCAAGGGACGCTGAGTACAGCCCCTGGAGATCAGCTCCCGCATGCCCTTCACCATGCACGGCAGGGCTGTGCCGGCTGGCTCCTGGAGACAAGCTTCCAGCATGCATGTGACAATGTGTAGAATTGGTCTTATTAGAGAGGCACGCTTGTCTACACCACAGGCCATTTTGTGCCTTCTTTTGGCCTGCGATATATTCGACTGATACGATCTGAATATCACTGCTCCCTCGTCTCCCTGAAAACCCACCCTGAGAGCCTGCTGGAGTCGACCTCCTTTGGCTGTTGAGGATGGGCCTCTCTGGTTGATTAGCATTCTTTCTCCAGCCATGTTTTATGGCCCTGGAGAACAAGACCTCTTTATTACAGGGCTTTCTCAGGATGTGTTGATTAATATGCTGCTGGACACACAGGCCTGTGGACGCACTGCTTGTTAGCTCTGCTTTTCAAATGCAAACTAAGTTGTTTTCCTCTTCATAGAAGTAGCATGGAGCATGACTGTCTGCACGCTATTGTCTTTCACACGCTTCCGTGGAAACAGAGGATTCTAGATTTTTACTTTTTAAATTGCAACATCATTTTACTATCACACTTATATATTTGGAGCAACATCATGTACAAATTGCTCACTATTTATGAAAAGCACTGTACTTTGTGTGGTTCTCACAAGCTGTCTCTAATTTGTGGACCCAGTGAGATCAAGCATGACCTCACCCACAGAGAGTAAATCCTGGATCTCTGAATGACTTAGGATCTCTGTCCCCTCTAGTCTTACTTTAGTGGTCTTCTAAACAATTTGGATAAAATCTAGTGAATTGATACATGGAAATGGTCTTGTTTTTGATCTACTATAAAAATTTCAGTAAGGACTTCTCATTTGAAATGTTTATACTAAAATCAATAGCAGACTAAGACCTAGACTGGGAATCCATGACTATTTCATTGCTGTTCTTCAATAAATTCCTTTAAAGGCTGTAGCCCTTTATATTTATCCATATTTTAGGATGTGACTTATTTAAAATAATTTAATGGATCACAGAATAAATAAACAGAACACAAACATCAACAACAAAAATATTTTCCAGAATACCTTCTTTGAAAACAAACATTATGTTCCGTTACTGGAACGACTTCTTTTAACATCAGGAAATAGGAGGAAATAAGTTTCCGACCTGAATTGAGGACGAAGGGTTTCTGGCCCGGCAGTGGGCTCGCGGTTGGGAACTGCGCAATGACCCCTGCTCCTTGTGCCCCTAGTGTGGCTGGGAGTACTCGATGCGAATTAAAGGCTGGTTTTGCAGTCACCTCCACCACACTCACAGGTGGCCAATGGAAGTCCTGAGGTGGCTGGAGGTCACCTGCACATGTGCAGCCCGGGCATTGCCCACTCTTCACCTTCCTGGTCACTCCTAGGATTGCCCACCTGCTTCCAGCCTCTCAGAGCATAAGCAAGAAATGATCAAGATGAAAAAAATAAAGACATGATTTGCCCACTTCAGGTAATCTTTTACACATCCTGAAAAGGGCTGAAAGGAAAGATCACCCTTTAAAGGACGTGTCAAGGTGTTGCTTTTGGTGAAAAGGAGGGCAGTGACCATGGACTTCCGCGTTGATTCAAGATGTTCGATTCATTACTAATCAACCAATATCTACAGACTTTGTGATTTGTGGGGTTTTTTCCCTGTGTAATTAAAACAAAAGGGACAAAGAGAGTCTAGCTGCCCTAGAGACCTTCCATCCTTCCATGCTCTGGTATCCCTCCCTGAGAGTCATTTCTTTCCTTCCACAGGGCCGCTCCCACATTTCCTGCATGCCAGGAACTGTTCGTAGGTGGAACTACCCGTCCCCGCTGTGCATAGGTAGGTGACCCTTTGAAACCCTGGCCCCGGAGCGTGGAGCGGCACACGGCTGCCCCCTCCCCTTGGGGGCTCATGCGGGGCACTTCCTCACCTCTCCAAAGCATTTGTCACATGGTGATAATGACATAATGCAGTGGGGGCCTAGCAGGATACCCCAGCAGCACAGCAGCTCACCTTTGGGTCAGGCTACAGGGACGGGATGCTGGGTTCCCAGCTGAAGGCATCTGTCAAATTGAATTCTTATCAGTTTATGGGGATGAGGAGTGTAGCTGTTCTGAACCGAGCCGCTTTTTTACAAGGTACGGAGAATGGGTTTTCATTAAAAAGTCAACATGACCCATGATGAGCCTCAAAGATAGACATGAGCGATCCCAGGGGTTTGCAGACATTAATTTAAGGTCTGTTCACGCTCCAGAACATCAGAGTCAAAGTCTGTGAGAGGTGGTGTTTGTTTCCTAGCTCCTGGGAACCATCCTGCTAGCTCTTTGTCATCAGGATGCTAGTTAAGATTCTGCGGACAGATGTTCTCGGAGGCTTGGCCTCCTCAGCGCTGTTCTCAGAGCTTCACCGACACTGACCATCGTGAATGTCATAACAAGCCCGGGGCAGGTCAGGCAGTCTGCCAGGGCTCTGCAGCCGAGCTGGGGGTTTGCACCAGGATAGGTGGCAGGAGGCTTCTCACACTGGGGGTCTTCAGGGCATGGCCAGTGCCTTTAGTACCAAAACACCAGGAACCTGCACAAATGAGACACAGAGATCCTGCTCTAGTTTTTTAAAATAAACGCCTTGTCCTTTAGGAACACTGTGTTTAGTAATGATTCTAAGTGTGCTATTTACCCACAGCAAGGGTCAGACATGGGGGGGCTGCTGAGAGCAGGCAGGAGGTGGGTCACCAAAGGTGACAGGGGAGCCGAGAAGCGGACTGCAGCTGGACAATGCCTCTGAGCCTGTAGGAGACAGCCCAGTCCACGGTGGAGCTCTCAGATGGCAGGAAGCAGGGACTGGCCAGGCCCTGGAACTCTGTTTCAGGCTCCTCGTTGGCTTCTAGTTTCCAATGGGCAGCAAGAGTAAGAGCATCACAGCTTTTGCAACCAAGTTCCCACACAGCTGGCGATTTCCCGCACAACAGGAGACGGCCCCAGCCTCTGGGCCCCACAGTGACCTCCACACTAGCACCTGGCCTGTGTTCTACCCCGTCCTAGGTGCTGAGAGTGACACCCAGGCTGTGAGCCAGATGCTCCCGCGTGGCCCTGTCCCTCCCCAGCTCAGAGGTCATTGTCTTCTACCATCACCAGGACTTCATTTTCATTATGCTTGGAATCAAGTGGGTCTTCAAGACATGTCACTGATGAGCACTTGCCTTCCTGTTTCTGTCATCAGTCTGTCACTTTTCATGTATGTCCTCCCTGTCGCTGGACATGAGTCCTCTCCTGGAACTGGAGTGGCCCAGGGGAGGGATGCTGCTCCCCTGGAGCACCCTCAGCAGAGCCCACAGACTCACGCCCCAGACGCTGGCCCCGGACAGTGGCCTTGAGAGGCTGTGGAGAGGCTGTGGAGAGCCTGTGCTCTGAACCGCGGTGGGTGGACGTTGCCGAGGCCTTCTCTGGAGTCAGGACTCAGACCACAAAAAGAGACCTTTACGTTTCTTAACGTGTTTGAAATCCAGGACAGGAGCCTGCCTCGAGCAGTTCCAGACGCAGGAGGCCTGACTTCCACCTGCTTCTCACGTGCAATCTGTCGTCTTGGGGGGTCTGCTCACCTGGATGATCAAACCCAAGGCCCCTGCAGGCCCTGGGGGCTAGGCGAGGCATCCAGAGAACAGTGCTGGTGTTTGCAGGTCACAGGTGGCCAAGTGCCAGATTCCAGGGCTCCAACCTTCCTGGCCTGTGTGTTGTGAAGTCAGCGTGTTCTTTACAGGCAAATCGCACACATGTAGTCGAGCCCGCGAGCCAGCAGGGCAGGCCAAGTGCACACACCTGTCACACCCATCACAGACACCCGATTTCCTGGGGAGAGTGGTGGCTGCAAGCTGTGTCCCCAACTGGGAAGAAGTCTGAGGGCCAGGGGGGCTGGTGCCCTGGAGGGTCCTGGGAGAGCGAACAGGGCTGGAACCCTGTGGCTGGGCTGCTAGAACTTGAGGCCTGGCCCGACTCTCTCAAGGCTTGGCTTCATGGTCTGTCACATGGGGAAATCTTCGCTGCAGGCTTCAGGGCTGTGCTGAGGGTTGTGATGGTGGCTGTGACAGGGTGGGGCTCCTTTGTCCCAGCAGAGCAGGCCCCATGCAGCTAGTGATACACAGTGACTGAGGCCACCCCCGAGTCGTAGCTGAGGAGCCACAGCCACCTCCAGGCCTGCTGACACGCACCCCACTGAGGGTAAGACCTCCATGAGGTCCTCAGAGGCCAGGAGGCGCATCCTGGAAGACAGTCCTGGTCCTCCAAGGTGGGCCCTGCACCTGGAGCTGAGCCCCAGCAGCTGAGGCCTGCGCTGCGTTCCCAGCAGAAGGCCACTCTTCCTGGCAGGTCAAACAGAGCTGTGGCATGTGACACTCGGAGGGAGTGGCTTCCCTGAGACTCACAGCTGTTGTCCCCTTTACAGCCACCTGTGGAGGCACGCTGACCAGTCTGGGCGGAGTGATCCTGAGCCCCGGCTTCCCCGGCTCCTACCCCAACAACCTGGACTGCACCTGGAAGATCTCCCTGCCCATCGGCTACGGTGAGTGACCCACGACCTACTCCTCATCTGCAGAAGCAGGCTGACACAAATGTGCCCTGTCCTGTCACATGACATCATAAACTGAATGAGGGTCAGGGCTCAGCAAAACTTTGGCAGGAGAACTTGAGAACAGGAAGTTGTTTGAAAAATCGCCAGAGGACTCTTGATGAGAATTAGATCAGCCGGGTGATGACGAGGTAGGCACGGGGCCGCGTGCACCCTCATGAGGTGGCCACCTCTCTACCTACTCCAATCTGTCTCTGTGGTTCAGTCATGGTCAGTTTCTTTTGAACAATTTTGAAGATGTTCTTCAGGTTGTGGCACAGTTTAAACAGAATATATAAAATTTAGGCGGGAACAGTGGTGTATATCTATAATCCCAGCAACTCAGGAGGTTGAGGCAGGAGGATCATGAGTTCAAAGCCAGCCTCATCAAGTTGGTGAGGCACTAAGCAGCTCAGTGAGACCTTGTCTCTATATATAGTACAGAAAAGGACTGGGGACGTGGCCCATAGTTAAGTGCCCCAGAGATCAAGCTCTGATACCAAAAAAAAAAAAGAAAAAGAATATATAAACGTTAAACGTGAAAAGATAGTATTGCATTATTAGTTTTTTATTGTATATTATATTGATTATAGGTTTATTAAAATCTTTTAACATTCAGCTATTAACTCTCAGGTTTTTACTTTTAAGTAATTCATAATTCTGATGGTTGTGAACACTGACACTTACTCTGGCCTGTCCTGGGCACACTTGGCCTCGGTGAGACCTGGGCCTTCTGACCAGCCTGTCTCCGTCGCTCCCTGGCTCCCTCCCCTCTTTAGTCCACCCTTGGTCTTCCTTAGAGCATGCCGCAGGGCACGAGGTGGGTCCTCAGGGCATGTCCTGGGACATGGGAACTTGGGTACTATTAGTTGATTGAGAAATGAATAGACACATCAATGGAAATCATTGCTCCAAAAGGAGGTTGTGGTTTTTATTAAGTTTGTGAAACATTTTAATTTGTTTTTTCTAGATACACATGTCAGGAGAGAGTATTTTGACATATCATATCTACATGGAAAATAACTTCCCACCTTACAGTTGTCCATGATGTGAAGTTTTACTGGTCGTGTGTTCATATAGGAACATAGGAAAGTTATGTCTGATTAATTCCACTGTCTTTCCTTTTCCTGCACCCTCCCTTCCCTTGATTCCCCTTTGTCTAATCCAGTGAACTTCTATTCTCCCCACCCTTATTGTGTGTTAGTATCTGCATATCAGAGAGAACATTCAGCCCTTGGTTCTTAGGAATTAGCTTATTTCACTTACCACAATAGTCTCCAGTTCCATCCATTTACCAGCAAAAGTCATAAACTCACTCTTTTTATGACTGACTAATATTTCATTTTATATAAATGCCACATTCTCTTTATCCATTCAGCTGTTGAAGGGTAGCTAGGTTGGTTCCATAGCTTAGCTATTGTGAATTGAGTGCTATAAACATTGATGTGGCTGTGTCACTGTAGTATGCTGGTCTTAAGTCCTCTGGGTATACACCGAGGAGTGGGATAGCTGGGTCAGATGGTGGTTCCATTCCTAGTTTTCTGAGGAATCTCCATGCTGCTTTCCAGAGTGTTGGCACCACTTTGCAGTCCCATCAGCAGTGTCTGAGGTACCTTTTCCCCCACATTCTTGCCCACACTTCATACTTGTATTCTTGATAACTGTCATTCTGACTGGAATGAGCTGAAATCTCAGTGTATTTTTAGTTTTCATTTTTCTAATTGCTAGAGAAGTTGAACACTTTTTCATATGTTTGTTGACCATCTGTATTTCTTCTTCTGTGAAGTGTCTGTTCAGTTCCTTAGCCCATTTATTTGTTTTTTGGCGTTAAGTTTTCTGAGTTCTTTATGTGTCCTGGAGGTTAGTGCTCTATCTGGGGTGCAGGGGGAAAGACTTTCTCCCATTCTGGAGGCTCTCTTTCCACATTCTTGATTGTTTCCTTTGCTGTGAAGAGGCTTTTTAGTGATTCTATCCCATTTATTGATTCTTGATTTTATTTCTTGTGCTTTAGGAGTTTTATTGAGGAATTCAGATCCTAAGCCTACATGATGAAGGTGCAGGGTCTCCGGGCTAATTCCTAGGTCCTTGATCCACTGTGAGTTAAGTTTTGTGCAGGGTGAGAGGGGTTTAGTTTCATTTTTCTGCATGTGGATTTCCAGTTTTCCCAGCACCATTTGTTGAGAGGCTATCTTTTCTCCAAGGTATGTTTATGGCACCTTTGTCTAGTATGAGATAACTGCGTTTATGTGGGTTGGTCTCTGTGTCCTCTATTCTGTACCACTGGTCTACATGTCTGTTTGGGTGCCAATACCATGCTGTTTTTGTTATATGGCTCTGTAGTATAATAATCACTCTGGTATTATTATGTCTCCTGCTTCACTTTTCTTAATGAGGATTTTGTCTATTCCGGGCCTGTTATTTTTCCAAATGAATTTCATGATTGCTATTTCTAGTTCTATGAAGAATGTCATAGGGATTTCAATAGGAATTGCATTAAATGTATATAACACTTCTGGTAGTAAGGCCATTTTGACAATGTTAACTCTGACTATCCAAGAGCATGGGAGACCTATCCATCTTCTAAGGTCTTTTTCATTTCTTTCTTTAGTGTTCTGTAGTTTTCATTATAGAGGTCTTTCACCTCTTTTATTAGATTGATTCCCAAATATGTATATATTTTTGAGTCTATTGTGAATTGGGTAGTTTTCCTAAATCCCATTCAGTTGATTTACCATTGATGTATAGGAACACCACTGATTTATGGGAATTAATTTTATATCCTGCTACTTTAATAAATTCACTTATGAGTTCTAGAAGCTTTCTGGTGGAGGTTTTGGGGTCTTCTAAATATAGAATTATGTCATCAGCAAATAGGGATATTTGAGCTCTTCTTTTCCTACTTATATGTCTTTAATTTATTTCTCCTGCATAATTGCTTTGACTAGGGTTTCAATGACCATGTTGAATAGGAGTGACCTTACAGGGCATGTTTTTATATGTCTTGTTCCAGTTTTCAGAGGAATTGCTTTCAATTTTCCTCCATTTAGAATAATGCTGGCCTTGAGTTTAATGTTTACAGCTTTTACGATGTTGAGGTATGTTCCTACTTTCCCTAGTTTTCCTAGTGTTTTGAACATAAAGGGGTGCTGTATTTTGTCAAATATTTTTCTGCATCTGTTGAGATGATCATATGATTCCTGTCTTTAAGTCTATTGATGTGATGAATTATGTTTATTGATTTATTGATTTCCATATGTTGAATCAACCTTACATCCCAGGGATGAACCCCACTTCATCATGGCGAACTATCATTTTAATATGTTTTCTTATGCACTTTGCCAGTATTTTATTGAGATTTTTGCATCTATGTTCATCAGGGATATTGGTCTGAAGTTTTCTTTCCTTGATGTGTCTCTGTGTGGTTTTAGTATCAGAGTGATACTAGCTCCATAGAATGAGTTTAGAAGGGCTGCCACCTTTTCTATTTCATGGAATACTTTGAGGAGGATTAGTGTGAGTTCTCTGAAGGTCTGGAAGAACTCTACTGCGAGTCCATCTGGTCCTGGGCTTTCTTTGTTGGTAGGCTTTTGATGGTGTGTGCAATTTCATTGTTTGAGATCAATCTGTTTAAATTTTCTATGACCTCCTGATTTGATCTGGGTAGGTCATGTGATTCTAAAAATGTGTCGACGTCTTCAAGATTTTCTATTTTTTTGGAGTAGACATTTTCAAAATAGTTTCCGGTTATTGTCTGTATTTCAATAGTCTGTGGTGATATTTCCTTTTTCATCACAAATTTTATTAATTTGAGTTTTTTCCCCCTTTTTTCCCAGTTATGTTGGCTAAGGGTTTATCAATTTTATTTATTTTTTGAAAGAACAAACTTTTTATTTTGTGTATTTTTTAATGGTTTTTGTCTGTTTCAATCACATTGATTTCAGCTCTCATTTTAGTTACTTCCTGTCTTCTTTTGGCTAAGCTTTTCCCTGGAGAATGTGTACAGGAGTGTGGAAAGGCCAGGTGGGGGTCACTTGCTCAGCAGAGAGCCCTGGAGCGGGTGTCGTGGCCGGAGGACGTGGCCGGCTGGCTCAGGCGCACTGAGGGGAAGTGCTGTGGGCCAACGTGGGCTGTTGGACATGGAAGAGGGCTGCTGAGTAGCCCCGCGGGTTCGGCAGCTGCGTCATGACCAAGGGCTTCCTCAGGAGGCCACTGTGGTAGAGGAACACGAGGACCAAGCCCTCCCCAGGGCAGAGACCCTGGCTATGGCAAGTGTTTGTAGTGACTTTGCCTTTGCTTTGAGTTCTCCCTGGGGCCCGAGTGATTTTTCCAGTGTTTTACAGACTGTGAGAAATGTTACTCCCTTTCTTTCCATTGTGCCTGAGCTTTATGACCGGAAACTCTTGCGCTCCGAGTTCCACACGTTCCTACACGTGTTAGAGGTGGACTTCTCCCCTGGAACACCTGCCGTCCCCGCTCCCTCTCTCTCTTCCACACGAGTCTTTAAACGGGATCACGAGGCTTGCTGCAGCGCAGGCCTGGGTCTCAGCTGCATGGGACTCCCGTCTGGGTCGCCCGAGGGCATCTCAGAGCAGGTGTAGGTCCCCTCCTGGACCCAGCTGATTCCCAGCCCTGCCAGCACACCTGTTCTTTCTTTCTGACTCACCCTATTTTTGGCAGTAGGTTCTTCCCAGAATCCCCCAAACCATGAGCAAATATCAGATCTCCCCTGGGAATTTCGAACCATAAATTTGGGGTCAAAGCCTATGATCAAACTCTCCAAAAGTTTCCTGTGAGAAGACTGGGAACGCATCTCACGCGGCCACGATGCCTTTAACCGTACGTTCTCCCTCTTGGACCTCCTACATGGTTTCCTATTGGCATCCACACTGCAGGAGGGTTCTGGAACATTCCCTGTAATTAAAACTCGAGAAAGGGCCCAGATCTCCCAATGGGAC